TTATTATTCTCGTCCTGTTCACCCTCCAAACGTTAAGCCAGTGTGTGTGTGTGTGTGTGTGTGTGTGTGTGTGTGTGTGTGTGTGTGTGTGTGTGTGTGTGTGTGTGTGTGTGTGTTTTACGGCGGCTTCTCCCTGCGATTTTATTTTAAAATATTAGGCCGAGGTGGGGAGAATTATAAACGACTCTGCTCTTATCTGCTCCCTTCACGTATCCAGGATCACAGAAGCTGATTAAGAAAGAAGTCACAGCCAACGCTGGATTCATAATGATTTGGAATAATGAATCCTTATCTCCCCTCTGCAGATTATCAGCCTTTCAGCTCGCCATGTTTTGTTACATGGGATAATTTATTGCATCTAATACATCACAATGAATCTGATGGGGGAAAGTGATGGCCATGTTAGGAGAGAGGCTGTCTTTTTTTTTTTATCCCGGGGCAATGAAATGCCTTTACGATTTTTAATTGGTAAAATATAAGGGGGGTGGGGATCTGATAAAAAAAAGAGAGAGAAAGAAAGAAAAAATAGAAGCACAGAGGTATAATCTTGCCTGCTAGTGTTCCAGCAGCACTCTGCACTATAATTAGTGTGTCAATTTCAACCTGAAATTAACAACATCGACCTGCCATCTCTGCTTACGCCGGTGGAGTCAGCTAGATCCTAATTTCGCATGATTTATTTTTCACCAAGAAGAGATAATTAATCATAAACACGGGAGAAGGAAAAAACACACAGTGCAGCAAAGTAGAGATAACAAAATATTTGCATCTAAAAAGATTCGATGGAGCTCATTGGCTTTCACCTCCTCCACCCTCCACCGCCATCCCGAGCCCACCTGATCCAGCTGCAGTTACCTCCAGCACTTTTATTTTATTTTTATTTTTTAATTTCCCATGATTAATCTTTGGGTGGCGATGTATCATTAATCACTACATGAGATGGGGGGGGGGGTGGTTACACAGTTACACACAGTGTGTGTAACTGGTAGACTGAATGGTGGTGTCACTGTTGTTGGGAAACGATTATTCTTTTATTCAAAGGGATGGCGGGTGTACCCTGGTGTAACACCGAACGAAGATGCACCTCCTTATAAGGTTAATACTAATAGTAATAATAATTATTTATTATTATTGGATAATCAGCCTTTGTTTGGAAGTCGTCACTGGCGCAGCGCCAGCGCAGTTCTGGATTTTTTGGATGGCGCTATGTTTAAACTTGGGCATGCTCACTGTGCCAGGATAAATTTGCATTTTATTTGCAGCTGTAATTAGCTGATCAGCATCTCTCTGCCCCCCTCTCTCACTCCCTCTCTGCCCATCTTTCTTCTCATTATGATTTTGTATTTTCGCCGCCTCTTTCACCGCCTCTCCCCAATCCCTCATTTTCCAATGTCCTGGCAGCGCCACCAGATGTTTATCGCTTTTATACCCAGGGACGCTGCCATGTCAAACAGACCGAGGATGGACACTTGCAGGCGGTTGGGTATTCAGGCAAGCCCCCTCCCTTCCTCTCTCCCTCTCTCCCCTACCACCACCTCCTCCTCCTCTTTTCCTGGCTGTGCATAATCCTGTACTGGGTGGCCACTGGTAGTCCAGTGACGGTTTCATATGAAACGGGGTAAGGGGGTGGGAGAAAGCAAGGAGATCATTATTAATGGTTGCTGATTAAAGGGTTCTCCAAATATAAAATAAATAAAAAGAGCTCGATTTAATTCACCTCCCCTGAAATCTTACTCTTTTTGTCCGTGCAGAAAAGGGCCACATCCGCACTGATGGGAGGCTGATGGTGCGCCCCAGATATACTGCAGATAGAGATGTGGAGATGAGCTTAATGAGATGCAAGGCTGTGGGTGGGGTTGGGGGCAAACATCCAGTGCAGGAGTCTTCCCAGGAGACATCTGCACAATGCGACCTGCCCGTTATCTGCAAGGGAATGCACTCCCTCGCTCTCGCTTTCTCTCTCGCTTTAATGAGCAGTCGTTTATTAAACACTCTCTCACTCTTTTAACCCCATAATTGAAAAAAAAAGGCTTTTCTGGAGCGGCTCGACCCCCCACACTGCAGCAGTTCTGCTCCACTGCAGAGGATGCAGCGGTGGATACAGTGATTATATCCATCTAGCTTACCTGAGCTGCAACAATCACAAGGGGGCTTTGCAGACCCCCACCCCACCCTCCTCCTTCCCCTCCAGTTTGGCCATGATATACAAATATTTATCCGCTGATAAGGAACCACTACGATGGCAGATAACCTCCAGTGCCACTGCGTCAGGACTCTTTGTCTGTACAGTCTCAGCAATTACTAAACATTTCCCTCCCTCCCCCTCTTTTTTTCCTCCTAAAACTTCTCCGTTGCTTTTAATTCGTTAAAGCATTATTAGGAGTCTCTCTAAGCCTCTTTAGTCAATGA